GGGGCTCTTCCCTCCCTCGGGCTCAGCCTGGCCATCTCCCCCTTGGTGGATCAATGTGTGTGTGGGGGTCTCTCTGTCCTGGCCCTGCCCTGGGAGCAGCCCCCCCCCCCAGAGATACGGAGGCCCCGACTAAGCCCTGGCGCTTCCCCCAGGCGTTGGGGACAGCCTGTTCACGATGACCACAGGTGGGTGGCACGCAGGGGTGGGGCAGGAGGGAACTGAGGTTTCTGCTGGAGGGGGGGGAGGCTCACCTGGGGTTTGCTTTATTTTTCAAGAGGTTGGGCTTCTTTGGTGGAGTTCAGAAGGCGGCTGGGCGGCTGAGACCGTTGAGCTCATCAGCCGATTAATCAATGGATGAACCTCTGTCGCCAAGGAGCCTGAGATCTCATCACAGAACGAGACAAGCTGGAGGCAGGTGAGATCAGTGACTCATTCCGGCCTGCGAGAGGCCCCCCAGGTGTGGAGCTCCAGGTGAGGGAAAAGGCTGACCTTCTCCCTGTGGGTGAGACACGCCTCCGCCCCCCCCCTGGAATTCCAAACCAGCAAGGGGTCACCTTGGCCAGTACTCAGATGGGAGGCCTCCAAGGAACTTCAGGGCTGTTGGCCCCACTGGGGAATTGGGGAAAAGGAGGCCACCCGGAGATGCCTGCCCCATTGGGGTTGCTGCCCAACGGGTCAAAGTGGGGAGGGGCTCGCAGGCCACAGCCTCTGCAGGGTTTCCTAATCTGAATGTCTTCGGTGCTTCTCAACCATCCAGGGTTGCCCCAAACGTGCTTTTTCCAAAAGGCAACTCGGTTTTCTTGGGTTTTCTTCCCCTTAAAGAGGTTTCGCTTCTCATCCAAGAAGCTTCTTCAGTTCCTCGTAATTTAGCAATTTTAAGGGGTGGGGACTTCTGGGAATTGAGTTGCTAAGATTGAGGGTCTTGGCCTCGGGGCTTAACTGAACAGCCGACTCTCCCGAATGCCTTTGGGAGTCTCCTCTGCAGACCCTCCCAGGCGATGGCTCTGCCTTTGTGCAATAATATAGGGTCTCTTGCTTAGGCATGGGGTTGGACTGGATGACCTCCAAGGCCCCTTCCAACTCTGTCATTCCGTATTCTGTGACAATCACATCACCACAGGTGAACACAGGAGCCCTTTTAGGCTGTGGCTTCCTTCCAGTACCCCACATGGCTCCCTCTTTTTATCAGAGCTTTCCCAAGCACCTATTAACAGAATGACAGACTCGGATGGGACCTTGGAGGTCTTCTAGTCCAACCCCCTGGCTCGAGCAGAAAACCCAATGGCATTTCAAGGCAAATGGCCGGTCCACTTACTCCCAGCCCAACCTAGGCAGGAATATTATTTGTCGGCCCAGATTTTTCCCCTTCTCCCAATGACCCCTCTGCCCTCCCTCCCTCCCACCAGTTACATATTAAACCAGTTCAGAGAAGGCCTCCCCCGCCCCCAGACCATGAAAGGGCCCGATTGTCTGGATGCAAACAAAGAGGGAAAGAAAACAAACAAAGAGAGACGTCATCTTAATAACAAGAAGAAGAATGCAACTGTTTGCGAAGCCGCAGCCAAGACGGACCCCGAGCCAAAATATTCTCTAGCGCAGCAATGAGCAACTGTGGCCACTTTACACCCGCTGGACTTCAATTCCCAGAACTCCTGAGGGTGGCTGGCTCAAGAATTCTGGGAATTGACATCCACCAGTTGTAAAGCGGCCGTCGCTGCTCTAGGGACTGGCCAAAATTCAAAAGCAGGAAATCAGCCTTTGGAAGAAGTGCCCGGATTGCAAAGGTTGATCAAGAATTAGTCCTGCCAGTTTGTAAGCTAAAGAAAATGAAATATAATGGACAAATACGATTTGAATAGAAAGACTTTAAGGGGGGAAAAGGAGATGGGGGGAAAAGCATATTTGTTTCTATTTACATTTATATACCTTTATATACGTACATATTTACAACCTGGCTTTTTTTCAGTGCCGTTGGAGCTTCAGGCGGTCATGATATGAACGGTTGTAAGTCAGGGACTGCCTGTATATCGAGCCGTTTGCTGACGGGAAACCCGTCACATGAAAAGGCAGAATTCAAAGGGGGAGATTTTCAGGGACCAAAACCAGAGGACCCCAAAACATGCTGGCACTGAGGACACCCCCGTTTCCTTTGTCTGCAAAAAAAGTCAGTGGAAAGACTTTTCTGCATCCTGACTCTTGATGTTGCTCTAAAAGTTTGCTTTTGGGAATTAGAATAGAACAGAATAGAAAAGGAATTAGAATCTGGAAGGGGCCCTGGAGGTCTTCTAGTCCAACCCCCTACTCAAGCAGGAGGCCCTCCACCATTTCAGGCAAGCGACTGTCCAGTCTCTTCTTAAAAATCTCCAGGGATGAATCTCCACCCAATCCGTTGCTTCTTTATATTTGATTCTTCACTGCATTCTAGTCATGCAATATGGAATCTAACCAAATACAGGCCGTAAGATGGATGCATAAGGAGGGAACCAACTAGATGTCCTCTTTATTTCTTCACGAAACCTATTTACCGCTCATCTGACTTACAATTTTCTCTTGAAGAGGAAATTCTCTGCAGGGTGTTTTGAAAGCAGCCGGGTTTAAAATGTGACCCCCCTCTGGGTGCCTTTTCAAAAGAGACCACGATGGGCGCCCGGCCTTCGTTTCCACCAGAGACGCTGGGCTGATTCCCACAACGTCCCCGGAGACGAGCAAGAATCGGTGGGGATGGGGGGCTCTGGGGGGGGGGGGACACCTTCAAAGCAGGAACTGTGCAGGGCAACCAGCTCCTACTTAATGAGTAACTGATGCGGGAGCGATCCATCCAGGGAGCAAATTCCACGGGGCCCTGTTTGCAGATGGGGGTGGTGGTGGTAGGGAGGCCCTCTGCACCAAAAGGGAACGGACGCTGCACAGCCTTTCACTGCTCCCACCAGGGAAGCCCCTTCCCCCATTTGTGCCCCCCTCTTTTGGGTGGGGGCTGCTGCCGAGGGACCGGCTGAGCGAGGGACCGGCTTCCCTTGGGTCTGTGGGCCTCTTTTCAGGGAGGGAGTAGGGGTCTTCCACGTTCCCCGTCTTCCACTCCTTCTTCATACAAGCAATCATTAAGCGCCTGCAAAATAAGAGGAGGCGGCTAAAGCGCACGAAGCGCCGCCGTTGCGGGCGCTGGGTAGGTCCAGCCTGAGGAAAAGAAAGACCGGGGCTGGCTTGATAGCAGCCTTCTGCCATTTGAGGGGCTGCCCCCAAGGAAAATGGGGGGGGGGGTGTCACTCTATCCTTCAAAGCCCCAGAAGGCCGGACAAGACGCACCGGAGGAGGAGGAAAACCCCTCTGGGGCTAAGGAGGGATTTCCTGACCGTGAGAGCCATTAACCAGTGGAACCACCGGCCCCCAGGAGTTGTGGGTTCAGAAGAGGTTGGACATTTGTCTGGAAGGGTGTGGGGTCCCCTGTTCAACCAGGGGGCTGGACTAGAAGACCTCCGAGGTCCCTTCCGGCTCTGTGGTCCTGTTCTTCTCTCCGGCTCCTGCCCAAGCCGCCCACCGTTCCTTCGTCTCGGGCTTCCTGCGGTGCCCCCCCCCCCCCCCCCGGCCCCGGCGGGGGCGGGGGCGGGTGCCCCCCCCCCCTCTCTGCCAGGTGTGATGCCCGGCAATGCTGCCTGCGGGCTCCCTGGGCCAGGAAAGGAGGCCCCGTTTCCCAGGCTCAGGGATGGGGAGGGGGTGCAATGACAGACCCTAACCTCGCCCCAACTCCTGCAGAAGACTGCAGCGCCTGCCCCCCTCCCCCAATTCCTGGCCGGCTCCTGGTCCTTTCAAAGCCTCCAAAGGGAGGGAAGAGGTGCCAGGGGGAGGAGGGGGAGGGGAGGACAGGGAGCCAAAGCCTCTCTGCCAATGACCTCCCCCCCTGCGTGTGCTCCCCCCCCAAAGAGGAGGGGCCGAGCTGAGCAAACAAGGCCTGACTGTGGGGGAGGCCGGGCAGCCCAGACAGAAGCCGAGCGCCCGGCTCCTGGACACCATGGACCTCCTGCCTCTGGCGCTCCTGCTGGGCTGCTTCTGCGGGACCTTCGCGGCTGAAGGTGAGTTCCAGGCCGCCCCCTCCCCAGGCCGTCCCCCCCCCTCGTCCCGTCTGGGCACCTGGGAGCCTCCATGAGATTTGGGAGGACGAGGAGGAGCAGCCCCTTTGGTGCACGACCCACCTGGAGAAGAGGAGCTGCCCAACATTTGGGATGGTGGAACCAGAGGGTTTGGGAGGGACCTCAGAGGTCTTCTAGTCCAACCCCTTGCCCCGCACACACCGTCTTGGACCAAGCGGGGTTTCTTGGAAACCTCCATCAGGGAGCTCAGGATTTATTCATGTGTTCTGAAATTTGTTTGCCGCTCGTCTCGTCTCCTGTGACTCTGGGAGCTTTACGACGTAAGTTGTTGGAGACGAGATTTTAATAGAACAGGATAACAGAAGGGGAAGGGACCTGGGAGGTCTTCTAGTCCAACCCCCTGCTTCAGCAGAAGACCTTACACCTGGGGTCCCCAAACTTGGCAACTTTAAGGCTTGTGGACTTAAAGCTGTGCCGGCTGGGGAATTCTGGGGGTTGAAGCCCACAAGCCTTCAAATTCCCATGGTTGGATGGGCATCCTTACTCCATTCCGGACAAATGCCCGTCCAGCCTCTTCTGGGGGATCATCACCGGTGAGGGAGCCCTCACAGCTTCTGACGGCAAGTCGTCCTGGTAGGAAATTGAAGGCCTGGAGGCCCCACAGTGGCCAAACAGCCCTTCTGTGCTCCGAGGCAGCTGGTTGGACCCCAACCTCTCCCACGGCAGCTGGGTCAGAACATTGGCGGGGCCCTCCTGGATCAGACCGCTGCCCCTTCTTGTCCAGCAGGCTGTTCTCTCGGGGGCCCACCAATCCCCACCTGGAGGTCGCCAGCGGAGGAGCCTCAGGGGCAGCCCAGCCAGGCCCAGAGCTTCCGCAGAAATCCTACATTCCGCCGAGGTTTCCTGGCAGACGTGTCCACCCCAAAGAGACAGGGGGCAGGGCCAGGGGGCTTCCAAGATTGGGAGACCTTCCCACAAACTAGGGGCGGGGCAGGGCGGTAGCTCAACGGTGAAGGCCCTGGGATCATTGGGTGCAAAACACTGGCAGCCTGGGTTCAAGACTCGAGCGCCAGGCGACGGGTGAGCTCCCGTCCTCACCAACTTAGCAGTTCGAAAGCATGAAAATGCAAGTAGATAACTAGGCACCATTTGGGTGGGAAAGTAACAGCGCTCCGTGACGTCATGCTGGCCCCAAAACTGTGGAAATGCCTTCAGAGACAGGGCTGGCTTCACGACCTTGAGACGGAGTTCTAGTCGGTAAGGACGCATGGAGTAAAATCCACAGGGACTCCTTTCCCTTATACCCTCCCTCCCCGCCCCCCGCATGCCCAAAGCGTTCTCAGAGGCCCAACTGGCCTCTCCCCTGGCTGCCCGTCCCCTCTGCCTTCCAGAGTCCTGCGAGGGCCGCTGTGACAAGGGCTTTGACAGCCTGAAGAAGTGCCAGTGTGACGATCTGTGCTTGTACTACCAGAGCTGCTGCGGAGACTATGCCAGCATCTGCAAAACCAAAGGTAGGAGAACAGGGCAGACGCCCATCGCCAACCGGGCCTGGCGGATCGGAGGTCAGGCTCCCTGGCAGAGGAAGTGGGGAAGGGCCGGAATCCAGACGGTTTCAAGCCCTTTCCTTGGTGGCCAACTGAGCAGTGCCAGGGCCCCTTCCTTCGCTTGGCCCTGGCTTGGGCAACCGGCCCCCTTTCCTCCCCAAACAAGGCCCTTTCCCTGCTGGATGGCTCTGCCACGACTAGGAGGGAGCAAAGTGCAACTGGGGAGAGGAGGGGAGGTGCCAGTTTCTCAGCTACCACCCGGGCACCATCCCAGCTCTGCCATGCTGCGTGCCGCCCTCGGCCTTCCTGTTTGGACCTGCCGGGCCCGTTAGCTGGTCCTGCTCCTTTGTCCTAGACTAGGAGGTGCCCAACCGTGGCCACTTTAAGGCTTGCGGACTTCAACTCCCAGAATTCCCCAGCCAGCATCACTAGCTGGAGGATTCTGGGAGTTGAAGTCCACAGGTCTCAAGAGTTAACTCTGACT